ACTAGGTAATCCATTAATAAACTTTTCTTTCCAAAAAGATTTAGTACAGTCTTCTCTTAACATTACTCTAGAGGTAAATATATCTTTCTATCATCTAAAATCACTTAATGTTGGACAAGTAAGGTTACTAAGTTGATCATGGATGCGATAATATATATTAGTAGGAGTTCCTATAAAATGTCGAACTATAGTATAGATTAATGTATTAATACCATCAGGGTGATAATAACCAATAGTTTCATCAAAAATAGGTAGATCATTTTCATCCTTTTGATTAGCATGAATAATTGATTCTCGTTGATCTTCAGTAAGATATTTTTCCCACAAAGATTTGAGTATACCAGTTGTAAGAGAGGGTTCAAGAAAGGAATTGGAAAATTCGAAAGATCTTCGAAGATCCTTGAAGAACAATTTCGAATTCTCTAGAAGATGATAAGAGGCTTAGTCTCAACTTAAGAACACAACAGTAAAGGAGATGATGGAGATAAGAGATTGGGTGAAGAAAAAGGCAAAATGGCTAGAGAGAGAATAATGGCAAGGCTCTCCCATGGATCTCCCAATTTCACTCTCAAGGTTGATAATGGTGATGGGAAATTAGTTCTTTCCCAAGAGTCATCTCTCCAAAATCCATCCCTGTAAAGCTATGGGTGGGTGCTATTTATAGGCACCTCATGATGTAGGATGGAGCCCATGTGAAATATTCTCTCTAACCACTTTGTCCGAGGAGGTGACCTCTCCGAGGATGAGAAAAACCCCGAAGAGGAGATCAATCCCTCGGCGAATCCTTCTTCTTAGTCACACCTAACCAATGATCCCCAATCATCCCAAAGGGTCAGGGGTAGTCCCAGAGGACGTCCTGCCTCATAAGGGTCAGGGGTAGTTCAAGAGAACGCCCTACCGCAAATATTGCCGAGTCTCACAGACCCTCTAGATCGTGCCACCTCGACCCGGGTATAGGCTAGTTTAACCGAAGAGTGAATTTATCTCCACTCACTGTCCTCGGGATCGGGTCCTTTGTTCGAACTCCATTACGCGCCATGGTTTTGGTGCGTAGATCCGGGAAAGCTCCGAGCCCGCAAGTGTTCTGGGACTCATTAATAGAGCGACTTCTAGATTACGTTTGAATTCGTTCGAAGTCAAGTGCTTCGGATCTCTAGGTTCGTGGATCCGAACCCTTTCGAGTCCGAGTGCCTCTGATCTCTAGGCTTGCTCAATACCCTTTCGAGTCCAGGCCCGAGTAAGTCTCTAAGTTCGTGGATCCGAACCCTTTCGAGGCTTAGAGCGATTCAGCCCGTTTGATGGCGATAAATTCGGGCCCACCAATCTTGGACTATTGGGCCTAATTAATTTAGTGGGTTTAAATTAGCTCCTCTTATACCAGTAAAACCAGAAGTGATTAAAGAAACAATTTCAGGTTGAGAGTAATCAGGGTAATTACTAAGATAACTATTGGAGACCATGGATAAATGATTTAATTTTTTGAGGATTTGATTTCTACTAAGACCATCAATATTCCATTCGTATAATTTGTTAGCAGATATGGAAAATTGATTATTAAGATTAGTTTCTTCATATTGGAGATCAGGTGGAGTAGGTCGAGAATACCAATTTTTGGTAGTTTAAGGATTAACTTTGGGATAATGGATTTTATTAAGAGTAGAGGATTGAAATTGTTGAGCTAATTGATTTATTTCATTATCAGTTGTATTGGATTCAGTTTGATTAGAAACAGTGTCCAAAATAGGTTATTGATTTAATACAGCAAGACCTTTATCTTTAGAAGGAGAGGCTGTATCAGTGGTAGATAATTTGGTGAATAATTGTTCAATTGCTTTGACAGTAGAATTATCTTTGGTAATTAAACTAGTTCTTTTGGAACGATGACTAGGTAGGTTAAGCAAAGGTTGATCTGGGGATTGTTTAGTAGAGGTAGTATTGGCTGAATAAGCATCTAAATTGGTTTCTAGCTTGTCTAATTGTTTACCAATAGTTTGGAGACATTGATTAGTATAATTATTTTGTTCAATAACTTTTTTAATTTCAGGGTCAGTGTCAAGCAGCTTAAAAGGAGAGGCTGTGACTAGAGATCCTTGATGTTCAATAATTATATTAGCTAAAGGAGGATGACTAGTGCTAACAGTAGTATCAGGAGAAGTTTTCCATTTATGTTTTGTGATTGTATTTAATTTTTTGTAATAATTTTCAAAGTATTCAAATAAAGGGATTTCTAGGCTATATTCAATCATAAAATCATACCATTTGCGAGTTATTCTGGATTGTTGAGTAGAATCATATTTATCACGATAAGCATGTATTTTAGCCTTATTTTCTTTAGACCTAAAATTAATAAGGAGTTTATCAAGATCATGAGCAAAAGGTTTACTAATTGTCATTAATTGATAATTTATTGGAAGTATTACTTCAAAATCAGTTTGGGTTTGAGAGTCTTGAGACTCAGTATCTTCTTCTTGGAGATGTGTGTTAGTAGAATAAACATGTTTACTAATTTGAGAGGTTGTAGAATTATCTATGCCTTTCATTTTACTATGGGAAGTTTGACCAAGATAAATTTGACTATTTTTTCTAAATAAAGAGGTATTAAATATTTCATCTTCAGTTTCAATGTCAGTAGGTACACTAGATGTACTATGTCGAGAGGATTGACTACGATTAAATTTAATCCTAATAGATCCATCAGTAAATTGCTGAATATCTTGGATATCTTGACTAGTAGATTGTTGTTAGTTATGTTGATAATTTTCATTGACAGTAATCCATTGATCAGGGAGAGTAATAGTTTTCCATTCAATCATTTGGGGAATATTTATATTAGTATCATTGTTACTACTTTGAATTAATAAAGTTTTATCCGTAGGACTTTTATGCAAGGCTTGGACATTCAAATTTGTTTTAATACATTTATAATGAATGCGGTAAATTAAAGCAATATTATGAGTTTTTTCTTTCATGTTAGTAAATGAACCATATAGTTGGATGTTTAGGGTGTGTTTGGTAACGTTTACGTTTTCAGTTTATATTTACAAAAATTTTATAAATTGGTTTTTGTTTATTTTTTGGTGGGTGGTGGTGGCGAGTAGGTGGTAGGTGGGTGGTGGTGGCAGGTGGTGGTGGAGAGTGGGTGGTGAGTGGTGGTGGTGGCAGGTGGTAGTGGAGAGTGGGTGGTGAGTGGTGGTGGCGGAAGACGGTGGTGGAAAATGGTGGCGGGTGGTGGCTAGTGTTTGGTGGTAAAAAAAAAAAAAAACTTAAAACTTAAAACGGAAAAACATTTTTTGTGTTTTCATTTTTTGGCTAAATTTATAAACTGAGACCACTAATTTATTAATCAAAAATTTTACCAAACAAGTTTTTATTTGAGTTTTTTAAAATTTTGTAAATTTAAACTAAAAACTGAAAACGTAAGTGTTACCAAACGGCACCTTAATGTTAGAGCATCTAATATATGAGGATCTCGAAGACTTAATGTAAAATCAGGAGAACAATTAAAATGAACGGGTCCTTTATGGAGACCAGTTTCTACCATTCCCATCAGACTATCATTATAATCTAAAAAACAAGCATCTCTTAAACATAACAAAACAGAAGTATTTTTGCCTTGTGGAGTTTAAGGGTTTATCCCAACTTGAACTAGACCTAGATGAATAAAATTATGACCAGATTTTAAATGTCTTTTAATAGTATTAGCATCAAATAAACGACAAGTCTCTCTAGGCTTTTCTAAAGCATAAACTTACTCTAAGGTTTTAACATGAAGATTAACTTTGAAGGTGTCTTGTAAAAAGTAGTTTTACATATTTCTTTTACTGATAATTTTGATATATTCCAACTTAAATTAATTTTATCATTTTATACTTCTATTTCTTCTTCATTAATTACTAATCCTTGATTAGGTATTGAGAGCAAAGTTATTGAAGACCGAGAACTGACTCAAGAGTTACTTTTAAATAATCGACTCACTTTCTGTTAATTAATCTGTTTTATTGAAATCTTAATACATTGTCTAACGTTATTATGTTTTCACATACTAAGTGTTCACACATACTCATTTCATAACATGTTTTTCAGTTTGGTTAATAAGGATAAATGCTTAATAAATTTTTGCTTTGAAACTGTAACATTTTACAGTTTCAAAACTTATTTTTCAGTTTGATTAATATTGGAGATTATTTGCTTAAAGTTTACAAAAATTGAAAAATATCATATGTTTTTCTCATTGTTGCTGTTTTTTGTCGTTTCACTTTTTTTCCTTTTAGTTTATCAATATTTAGCACATTTTACTATATTTTTTTGCTCTAATTTCTTTATTTTTTTTCTGACAATATTCTAGACATTCCGGTGAGTCTCTAGTGATATTCTTAACGTCCAATGAACGTTCTGAACATTCCGGCGACTTCCATTAACGTTCTTAACACTCCGGTGAACTTTCGGGAAAACTCCGGCGATGCTTCGGCGACTTCCCGGTAATATTGAACATTCCAACGAGTCTCCGGCGACCGTTTGACTTAGTAAGATGTAACAGTGTTTGTAAATTTGAAAAAAAAAAATAGAATTTTTTGGTAATAATTAAAAATATATAGGACTAATTAGTACAAGTGTTTTGTTTAAGAATTAACTGGATCTTGAACTTTGTATATGAGACTTATCAGTAAGTTCTCCAAACTTCAAACTTGAACATTTTATTAGTTGGCTTGGTTTATTTATTGGACCCACATGGTCCAAAGGTGTTTTGGGCCGAAAAGAGTATTGGGCTTTTGCTTCAAATATCAAAAAAGCCTAGAGAGAGAGTTCATGGCCGCCTCCGATCAAACATCGAAATGGCTAGCATTCTCTGTAACGCTGGTCGTCGCTACAATCTCTACATCCGCAGCCATCTCCGGTACTCTCTCTCTCTCTCTCTCTCTCTCTCTAAAACTCTCACTCTCTCTTTAAAAACGCACACTCACTGATGATGGAAAATTGCTCTCTTTTGTTGTTAGTTTATTTTGGGAGAAGAAAATCAAGCTTTGATGTGAAGGAGAACAAGATTCGAGAGCTTGAGGCATCTCTCAAGTCATCATTGGAGAAATGTAACGCTGAGAGGCAGGGTCGAATTAGGGCTCAGCAGGTATGGATCATATGTATTGTTGATGCGTTTGAATCTTAACTTTTGAGCAGTTTATCGAATCATGATTGAATTTCAATACAGTTTTTACTAAATATGGAGTATCAGCTGTTACTAATTTTGTGGGTATTTTTGGAATTCAAAAAGTGTGATAAAACTTGTCAACTTAATTATTAAAGCTTGTGCAATTCAAATAAGTAGAATTAAAACAAAATACTAATCAATAATTTATTATTATGTATTACTCAAGTGTTAAGAGTGGTTTTATGTTAAAATCTCACTCTCTTCTTTATCTAATTAATTTTTTGTTTTGAATTGAGAAATTGACACCTGACAAAAGGAGAGTGAATGACACTAACAAACCTGTTCACTTTATATAATAGCATAGATAGAATAGATAGATAGTATAGATGACCCTAAGGTCTTCCAATTGAATTCTCCCTAGATACATCTATTTAATTGAAGGTACAGAATTGTATTGTCGAATATTCAATATGATTCCACAAACTCTAGTTTAGTTCAAGTAATGTGTAAGCCCCATACAAAGGATAGGCTGTCCCTTGGCCTTAGGTCCTGACACAAGGTTAGAATTCTAGCTCTTCCAGAGTGGTATCTATGTTCAAACCTCACACTCTTCTCTATGATTAATTTTTTGTTTTGAATTGAGAAATTGACACTTGGCATAAGGAGAGAGAAAAGCTTCAGGACACTAACAAACCTGTTCACTTTATGTAAACAAACCTGTTCACTTTATGTAATAGTATAGATAGTCTAGATAGTATAGATTATAATAAACGGCAACAACAAATCAATAGTACTATAAAAAATGTCATTTTTACATTTGTCATATTAAAATTTTGAATTTCAGTAGATGTCTATATTTTTGTTAAATGTTAGAAATGACTAAAGCATAAAATCATCTTCAAATTAAAAAAAAAAAAGAAAAAAAAAGCGATAATTTGTGAAAGGGTTATTATGAATAATACAACGTTCAAATGTCAAAAGGTATCTGTGATATATATATCAAAATGTCAAAGAACATTTTAATATTTTTATTAAATGTTGAAAAGCATTTGTGATTTTTATCATTTAATATTTTATGATATTACATGAGAACGAGAGGAAATTTACAATCATTTAAATAGGACAATAATGGTAATATGCATTTGTTAATTCAATTGGTTTTTTGACTTCGTGAGAAGTGATATTAAAAGCTCGGTAGAGCTGCTTTTGAAAACGGGCTTCTATTAGGGTCGGCTTCCATTGAAAGCTTGTGACCACCAAGCATGCAAAAAAAAAAAAAAAAAATTAAAAGCACTTCCAACTGTAGAAGTGTATTTCGGAAGGAAGTCACCCCAAAATGAGATGGCTAGGTCTAGGATTAGATAAATCAGTACCATTTATAAAAAAAAAAGGGTAAATTATACTGACCTCCCATGAGATTTATGACAATTACATAAACCTTCCTTGAGGTTTTTGAAATGACACTAACCTCCTCTTTGATTTGGTTTTGTATTTCAAATTGCCCCCTCTACTCACTTTTGTTAATTGACAGTAACATAAATAGATGATGTCATGCACTGATTTTATTAAAATACAAATGTTGCCCCTATTCAAGTGGAAGAGTAATTCAATATTTTTTTTCTTTTTATCAATGTACCAAAGTAGTTTCCTTTCATTGGTGATGTTTTCTCTTTTCTCAACCCCCATTCCATCAATCTTCTACTTATTTTTGTTAATTTAAAAGTAATTTAAAAAATGCACGGTTTTTTTATTAGTAACTATTTTTTTATTAAAAAAGGAAAGCTCTATTTCCACACAATTAATTGCCTCAATGCACATCTTCTCTCAGTACACACACTTATTAATTTGATTATTAATTAATTATCTCAATCCACACACTAAAAGTTACAATTATACCCTTCCCTTATAATCGTTGTACACACACTACTCAACCTTCTTTTTCACACTTTTTTTTGCTTGTTTTTATGTTTTTCGGTTTGGAGATTTCGGCACTGGTTTTCCGAAAATATACATTTAATTCGAAACTTAACTTCCGAATAAAAGTGATTAGTTTGACAAATTTATTCCAAAAAAAATAAAAAAAAATTTCGGTAGTTGATGTCTGAATATAATGAAATAATTCGACAGTTGATGTCCAAATATAATGAAATAATTTGGCACTAGTTGTCCAACTAAAAACCGCTAAAGGAAAAAAAAAAAAAAAAAAAACACGGTTTCACACGAAAAAAATAATCTTTTCATCACTAATAGAATATAAGTCTAGAAATTAAAACAATATGAGAGTTGTAATGAGAGTATTGATTTGCAAGCAATAGAGGAGTATAGAGTGTGTAGCAAGCAAAGTGACAATAATAGAACAATTAGGGTTTAATTTTTTTTTTACTCAAAAGGTGTACAATGAGATTTTTTTTTTCTTTTTTTTAAAAGATATGTACAGAGAATATTTTCATATAATATTATGGGTGCTAGTGGATGTCCATTATGGTCATTTTAGTTTAGGATATAATTGTCATTAAAATAATATTTCATTAAGTGTGTATACCGAGATAATTAGATGCGTGAAAATAGAATTTCCCATTAAAAAATGTATATATGTACATATATATATATATAATATATATATATCCTCATCTTGTGAAATTAAAAAAAAATACAACCAACTTTGCATGGAGAAATTTATAGTGTGCAACACTAAAAAGAATATAAGAAAGTTACGGATTTTTGTGGTGAAAGTTATGAATATTTGTGGTGTGTTATGTCACTTTGTAGTTGTAAAAAGTTATGACTGATAAATCTATGGTATGCACCCTCAAATGAAAATTACAAACTATTGTGATTATGTTATGAATTATGTGTTGTAAAAGTTACAAACCATTTGTGGTAAGAAATGTTACGAATCATTTTGGTAAAAAATGTTACTATTTATTGTGATGCTTATTATGAAATGTCATAATTATGGTACATAAACTGTGATAAAGTGCATATGATATGCTCTTTTTCCATACTACACACAATAGTAGCTCATTCATTACTACAAAAAGTGGCCAAAAAAAGGTTGACCAAACCAAATGACTAAGACACTTAACATTAACTACTTGTAAATTTTGTGCACTTGGATCACCCTTGATATAAATTGTCCCTAGAAAAAAGACATATTAAATAGAATTTGTATATTTTTTTCATAGCAGCCTGAAGCACAAGTAAATACATTGCATTTTTTGTAATGAGTAGTTTTAAGAATAAAGCGTTCCTCTTTATGATCTCTGGAGACACTGAAATTTATCAAACATTATTATACCATAAAATGGCGACATTTATCAAGGATAGTGTGAGGTAGTAGTGGGAAGGGGAAAGAAAAGGAAGGAAAATGAAGAAGAGAGAAGGTGATGTAGTGAAAGTGATAATGGTGGTGTAGAGGACGGTAATGAAAGGGGTGGGTTGGATTAGATTTAGTAGAAAGAGAAAGGAAATGAGGTGTGGGTTATTTAATTACAAAGTTGTTGTAGTGTTTGATTATAAAAATATTAAGTATTTTGATGTGTGTAGTTACAAAGATAAAAAAAAAGATACATAGACAAAAATGTATCAGATAAATATAAGGGTAAATGTGTAAAACAACCCTCTATGTTAACTTTTTAAGGGAGGCAAAGCTGACAGGGGAGCTCATTGTCATTTCAGAAACCTCAGGGGAGGTTTTTGGAATTATGGCAAACCTCAAGGGAGGTCACTGTAATTTACCAAAAAAAAAAAAAATATATATATATATTTTCACATGCCAATTCGCTTAGCGTACACACTTAATGAACACTTCCTAGTACACACATAAAAAAGTTAAAAAATATCAGTGCATATTTCTTTATTCCAATAATACCCTCATTTTCAGTTTCAAAACCTTAATTTTTCCACATTCCATCCACCCACCACTCATTTGCTGCCACTCTCAGCTCTCTATCGCCACCGCTATTACCACTTCTAACTTATCCCCTTTTATCTTAGACCTCTACAGTCAATCTCAAAAGTGGGTGGTTAGTGGTGAGGGATTATGGAAATGTATGGTACATGGCGGAAGGTGGTCGTAGGCAGAAGGGGAAAGAGGCTACGATAGGGGATGGCAGAGGAGGGAGGTGGGGTTGATGATAGAGGATAATTGTGGTGTTTTAGAATTAGGGTTTGGGCTAAAGAAGATAAGGGTATTATGGTATTTTTATTCTAGGACAAAATTGTATCAAGAAAATTTTTCATTTACACTATGTTTGGGAATCTAGGAGAGAAAAGAAAAGAAATGATTACTTAAGTAATAAGAGAAAAGAAAAGAAAAGAAATGATTGTGATTTCTCTCATTCTTGTTTGGTTAGATTTCATTAAGAGAAAAGAAAAGAAATTATTTTATGTTATATTACCAAAATAACCTTTTTATATTTTCAATCATTTTATTTTTATAGGGACAAAATTGATATTATAAAAATAGTGGTTTCTTTTCTCCCCCAATTTCTCCACTTTTGAGAAGATTAAAAATGAGGCTTATAAGAGAAATGAGTTTCTCTCAATTTCTTCTCATTTGTCTCCACTATATATAAATATAGATAATGTAGAGAAAGAGATTGACGGTTACAATCGAGAAGAAGAGCGAGGCTTCGAGTTCTGTAAACGTAACTGTTGAAGGAGATCTCGAACAGAGTCGAGAGAGAGAGAGAGAGAGAGCGAGACTAGCACACCACCAGTGAGTGAGTGGTGTTGGGTGATAGTCCTTGAAGTGCCTCAGACACTGACGGGACTCAGAGGAGAGGCCTTGTTTGCCAACTTTTTTATTTTTTAGTCAAAAAAA